CRTGTTGCAGAAATGGCTTTGCAGTCCTCTTTGCTCTGCTCAGCAAACAGTGCAACATTCTTTTATCCACAATCAGCTCCAAGTGTCCCCATCATGGAGCCATGCGGCCTTCAGTATCAGTGTTTTTTGATTTTTAGTCTAAATCTGTTGCACCAACAAAACATGTCCCTCCCCACCAGGGACTGTTTGTCTGTGACGCTGATAAAGCAGAAAATCCCAAGCATCTTCAAGAAGTACATTACTGTTCGATGGTTAGCTGTTGTCCCATGTGCTTAATGTTTTATATAAATCAATTTCACTACGTTCAATAAAATATTTTGTTTTGGGGGTGTATGTTCTTAACAGGACCCTAAAATAATATCTCCAAAGTATGGTCTCTGCCTTTGTCAGTGGTGATCCCAAGGTCTCCTTCACACTATGATGACCCCGCTCTCCATGACTCAGTTGACCTTTTAGAATGTGGTTGGGTTGCAGCAAATTTAAGAAAACCTCCTTCAGTGGAAAAGCAACCATGACGGAGAATAGTTTTTCTTGTTGTTTTCCATGCCCACAAAATTTTCTCCTGCCACCAGACCCTATCACACTCTAACATTTTAAACTTGGCCCACATCCTGCCATAAAATGAAGATCACTAACCCTAACCCTAATGTCATGTGATCATGTGATCATTTCAATACGCTCCAACATGGTATGCATTAAATTGGTTACAAATGTTGCACATAAGCTTTGCATAAGTATAGGCTGTCATACCGTTGTAGGAGTTATCTATAAACTAGAGACAAGTTAAGTTACTCATATGTATTTATCCGTTCATCTCATTAGTAATACAGTATGTGCATGTCCAAAAGTGCCCACAAGGCAAAAATTGTCTGGCCAAGTYCTGGCCCACARAGTGCACTAAACACTCTGTCTAGCACTTGGCTCAGATACTACAAAGAATGATAACACTTTGGCAGCCCAGATGGGGTTTACCAGAGGTGGTCCATGCATTGGTCAACACCACATGAACCAAACCACAACCAGTTATGCCATTCAATTTTAAAACCAGTGACATTATTGCCAGACATGGCCCACGTCTGGTTAACAAAGCAGTTACCATGCCAGCAGCCAGCCAGCAGTGTCAGCTTGACACCAGATCTGACCCACACATATCTGCTACGTGGGAGGATTCCAGTAGATGTTTCTTCACCACACACCAACTGGGATCCCTATGTTTTATGCTACAGAAGTTTTGTTTCTGCTGAAAACCCTCCACAGCCAATCACACCACTGTGTTTGTAATACACAGCTGTATAGCGTACAGTGGTTATTCCGTATGTTGCGGGTGTTTCGGAGAAACTGAGAYGTTTATTTTCTAAACATGATGTCCCAGTGGCTTTCAAACCCCAAAACACATTACGGCAAAGGCTGGTTCACCCCAAAGATCCGGTGCCCCGGCACAAAC